AAGACCTTAAAATACTTTTAAGACTTTTATTACAACATCATAAAAATAGCAAATTAACAGCAGTTTTTAAATATATTTTAGAGGAAAACAGAATAGTATAAAAAACAAAATACTCACATTTGTTTAAAGAGTTCCATGATCTGATATTGAAATTTTGTCTTTGAGAGAAATGCTTAAATTAAGAAACCAACATGTATTGCATATTTTAAGTCAGTATCCTAAGCTCGCTTTAACTGGGAGTTGTTTACTGTGCCAGTCCAACATACCTTAACGAATATGGTAACTTACCATAACTAACTAGGGGCTTTTATTGTGAAAAGCAGAGATATTCCAAGTTCCTTCTGTTGTCCTGGAGAGATTTAGGACTAGGTCTTCAAAAATGTCACAACACTGTATTTAACTTGACACTTGTGTGTTCAAGATGATCTGTACTGAAAATCCCAGAACTACAGGATTTGTAAACTAGTAATATGCCACAGATGAAATACCAGAATTCATCTGACAGCGGCAGTTATGCAGTGAGCAGTGCAATAACACAGTTTCCAAAAAGAACAAGAATAAATTAGATAAGAAAATGAATGAATGGATAAACAGAAGAATAATGAATACTGTTTTGTTTAAGACAATCACGTGTGAGCACTAAAAATATGGCAATAATGAAAACACTAAAGCCTCCAAAGGGTTTGCACTGTTAAGAAAAGGTTTTCCAGTTCAACCAAGCCTTAGAGTATTTTAGCTGATGCCAGGAATTCTCATTTTCTTGTTGACCAAAGTCACACTTTCTGTCATATTGGCTGAAGCTGAATTAAACCTGCCATATCCTGCTGGGGAGTGAGTTTAGGGCTTTAGAGATGGGTGAAAGTGCACCACTGTAAATTCAGCTCAATTGAGTTTTGTTTATATAACGTCAAATCACAACAACAATTACCTCAAGGTGATATACCTCAAGGTGTGTGTGTGTGTATATATATATATATATATATATATATCTGAGGAGATATAAGGATGAATATAAATGTGAGTGGTTCTCAGGTTGAATGTACTGAAAACAGCCTCCATTGTGAGCTCTGTGTGTGTGTGTGTGTCTTTATTATTGACACTTTCTCTCTTTTCTCTCTTTCTCTCCCACGCAGGCATACAGCTCCATCCTGGTTGTCATGGTGATTCTGCTCAACATTGGAGTGGCTATTTTGTTTATCCACTTTTTTATTTAAAGACAGCACCGCTTTCAGAGTCAGCCCACCTATGCTACAACAACTATAAATTCATATGAGTATTACGGCGAATCTGCTGCCCCTTCGTGTTCCTGGTGAGATTACTGCAACCAGCTGGGACCAAGGAAGGCTCCACCCTCATTTGGGCTAAAGGTGGCTAACCCAAACTAAGCAGAGCTTGGTCCGGCCGTCCTGGAAGAAATGCTGAAGTGTAGAGCCCAAAGGGGTTGACAAAGGAGGGGTAAAGCAGTCCAGATGACTGGACTGCAGTGAGATAATATAGTCCAGAAACTGGACTTAAGTGAGCTTCAGAGGTTCACGTCAAGACTCGAGTGGGCTGCCTGATTCTCAGGCACGAAAGCTGCAGCTGGCATTTACAGCAAGTGCACAGACAGGACTGACCAGACAGACTTTTTCATCTTCAAATCATAGTTTTCAACAGATTTGTAACTTAAAATTTATTTATTAACATTTTCTCTCATGTACAATACATTGATGGATATGTTCTTTATTTTGTAACCTTCCTCCCCTTCTTTCTAAAACTCCTGCCTTTTGGTTCTTCCGCCTGCCCCGGTGTTGTTACTGATGGTTGTGTGCTTATGTTCCATTGTTTTGGCTGAGACACACTCAAGAGCTGCAGAGTGTGTATGCGCTGTCCACACAAACACACATGCACACACACACACACACTCATTGCTTTTACCCCATCCTTCTTCTTCTTTATCTGGTTAATTTTTATCGCATACTGTGTGTGAGGAGCAGCATGTTTGGATATCATGTTCACAGTGAAATGCGAGTTTCTATCAAGCTTGGATGTTTTTGCCATCACAGTGTATACCTGTGTGTGTAGGTGTGACGGTGTGTGTGTTTGTGTGTGTGGTCTCAAAATTGCACAGTGGCCTTTCATGCTGTTCATGAACTTTACAAGAGCATCTCACGAGGACAGAGTCGGCGCACAGCAACATCTAGCCAACTAGCATCGGCTGACAGCTGCACTCGCTCCATCTCTCTCCCTCCCACTCAACCCCACCTCCACACACACCGGTCAAAGGATGGAACTTCCTCTGAGTTGGTGGACATTCATAGCACAGCGTATTGGCAGAGCCTTGCGCCTGCTGTACCACCAGCTGAGGTATTTAAAGGAAAATACCGCTTCCATCGAAGCCTCACAAATACGGCTTTCCGACTGCTTCTGTTAAAACCTAACCTGAAGATAATGACAACATCTTTTATACTATACTTGCAAGATGTCTGAAAAAGATCCTAGTCGCCCAACTGCATTGCTTTTGTAGAGCAAATTGATCCAAGTACAACAATGCATGCATATGTGCTGTAATATCTTAGTTGTGCGTTGAATCTGGAAGCTTCAGAAGCTTCAGAAGCAACATGTTAGGTTTTGACAGGAGCACAGTTTGGAGAGCGGCCTCTTTCTCATTGATTTTACTCAACTAAGCGACACAGATTGAAGTCCCTAGTTGGAGCTAGGTGATGCAATGCTGTTGTAGTAAGCAGTAGCCAGCGCCAAGTGAGGATTTATCCTTTCCATTCCTTCACTTCTCCTCTGCTGAGCAAGACGCTTACTGACACGCAAGACTGTCACAGACAGCTGTCGTGCTTTTTAATCAACTGGATTTCTCTCAAACCGCCCAGTACAATCCCTCTGTTTCTTTCCATGTGTGCACATGACTGCTCAGAGAGTACCGTATATGAACATCTGTGTGTGTGTGTGTGTGTGTGTGTGTGTGTGTGTGTGTGTGTGTGTGTGTGTGTGTGTGTGTGTGTGTGTGCGTGTGTGCATGTGCGTGTCTGCTCGTCCTTCTCCTTCCTCATGATCGGATGGCAGGATGGCTGAAACCCTCACCATCAGTAACAACTTCCAGGAGGGGCAGAGAGGTTTGCTGTTGCTTTTCTGTCCGACAGCGTTTCTCAGGCTGTAGGCTCATTTCTGGCGTTTCCCCATGTTCTGACAACACCTCGGTCTAGAAGCTCTGCTGTATGTCATCAGCCTGGTGACGATGCCCTGCACCACCCTGTTAGTCTGCAGCATGCTACAGCATGCCAAGCTCTCTCTCTCTCTCTCTCTATAGTTTCACTCTCCTCTTTCTTTCTTTCTTTCTTTCTTTCTTTCTTTCTTTCTTTCTTTCTTTCTTTCTTTCTTTCTTTCTTTCCGTTTCTGGGAGTTACTCTGTTTTTCAGTTGTGTGGAGAAAAATAATGAAAGTGTTTGAAAGAAAACGACTTGGCTCCTGTATTTTTGGTCTTTCTCTCTCTTTCTTTGCGTTGCGTTGTGTTTTCATACTTTCTGTGTGTGCAGTTTATGCAGCATCCCTGATGCAGAGAGGGAGTGGTACAGAACCTGCTTGGGAGGGAGGGGTATGGTTACTATAGCAACCTTAGACCTTTCCTCCGTCAGCAGAGGGCGGGGTCTTTATTTATGGGCGGGGCTTACCTATAGAGACTAATGTGCTGAAACAGTCGAGACGATGGAGCAAGGGAGAACTGCAGGTGGAGGAGAAAGAAGATTAGAACTACATTGTAGGGCGAGGTGAGGGGACACAGTGCACTAGAGTTAGCGCATTTTATTATTACGTAAATCAGAATTTAAGCAGCACTTTTAGGGTGTGTGTACATTTTTTATCATCTGTGAGGAGGCAAATATTACGCTGGACACAACACCACGTCCGTCGGCAATGTGCCGCTGCAGCAGGCATCAGCATAGCCATCTGCTGCCATCTTCTGGACCTATATATGAACTACACCAAAAAGGCTGTAAAGTTTAAATATATACACTGTTCCGCCACAACAGTTAAAAGGAAAAAAGGAACCCAGACATGAAGTGGAAAACCTGATTTATCCTATTATAAGTCTTAGGTCCTGACATTCACACTGAGACGACCAGATCAACTTAGCTAAGTTGGATAAGTAGTTAAGTGATAGTTATCCCAGCTAAAACTGGGCGAAAGTCAGGGGGGAAACGCTGGACACATTACCAGCTCAAAACAGCATGACCAGATTCTAATATACTAAAATAAAAATAAAAAAATGTTTTTGTGGGACATGAATTTACGGACGGGTCACAAGGGATAAAAACATGGTGCATTCCCAAAGATTAATGCCAGTTCAACCGCCATACACTTAAATTGCACTCCCTGACGACTGCAGCCTCATTCAGAAGAACACCAAACTGCCCACATCTTTAACTCAGGTCTTACTCCCAGCACACGACTTTAAAGGCACATGAAGTAGTATCAAACTCTGAACACACATCATTCTGCTCAGAGGTACTCAAAGATCAGTAACTATTAGCAAAACTCACCTCTAAGTGGAGGGGAAATGTAAAATACTGTGCCAGGACTTCCTCAAAAGTGACAGTTTATAAGTCATGATATGCATTTTTAAATACACTGATGATGCCATACTGAAATAAATAACTAAATAAACGACTAAAGGGAACTTTACCATAAAAATCCCCGAATTTACCAAAAAAAAAAAGTGAACCAGTACTGACAGGAAACTACTATTCTGCATATTCTCTTCCGTGGAGATTATTGATTCGATATTGGAATAAAGACAACTGTTGCAGTTCTCTTTATTCCATGAAGCTGAAACTGCCTTGGAAGCATCAGTTGAGTGTGTGTCTGGCACTTTAAATACCTAATAACTAAGCGGAGTATGAACGCATGAGAAAAAGATGTGGAATAAAAGGGCAACGGATATCGCTCTGAACCAATCGCAGGAGGAGCCTCGATTAAAGACAGCTCTCGCAGCCAATCAGAGCAGACCGTTCTCTGTGGTAGGTTTGTCTTGTTACCAGAGTTGGGATAATGTTATATACAGCTGTTTTTCTCGCTTCCAAGATTCATGGCAGAATGAGAAGAACCTAGAAGTAAAATGTGCACCAAATTCCTTCATGGCTTCTTTAAAAAACGCCTCCAGAGTCGTCAGTGAGATTTCTTTTTAATCCACAGCTGCTTTTGATGAGGTAATGTCTAAGAAATGTTCTCGTGGTATTTCCACTGGTAACCAGCAGTAGCTTCGGGATCTACTAGTTGTGTTTACAAACTTGAAATCCGGCACAGTCTTTGGCTGGTGCCCGCGGCTCCTCGTACAAGTTTTGGGAAGCCATGAGGACGGTGGAGCAACTCTACAGGAAGGGCTTGTTGTTGTGCCTTTTAGCTTGGCGGCTCGGATCAAAAAGTCTCGGTGTGTTTGAGGGTATCATTGAATGGGGCGGTGTGTTTTGATCTCGCCTGCCTTTGTGCAACCACTGTTTCTGAGCCGTCAGGGGGTCCGCGGTCCGACCGGTGGAGGGGGACACGGCGGAGGGACTCTGGGCTGCCGTGCTCCGTGGTGAATGCAGACCAGTCCACTTTGGCTCCATGTGAGACGACTTTGGGGAGATTCTGGTTCGGGAAGGCCTGCTTAGGTGTCGTCTCTGCTCCGACAACAAAGGAAACGACTGTTGCTTGTTAAATTTCACTTCTGCGGCCGCTCTCAGACAAACACCGAGAACGTTGAAGTGGCAAACAGCCGCTTAAACCTAAGTTGGTAAATTAGGACTGAGTTTGCCAACGACGCCTGCGCAATTTGTGCGCACACCCGAGCGCGCTCCCTTCAAGTCGTTTTTAAAGTGAATTCTGTAGTTACTGTACCGGTCCACATACAGTGTGAGTGCGTGTGTGAGGATGGTGGAGAGCCAGAGCTGTGTTCACAGAGAGGGGGTGTACCGCTGGTTCTCCTCACTCAACTCAGCCCAGAGGGCAGAGTTCCTGTGCGGCCTGCTGGACCTTTGCGTCCCCATCGAGCTCCGTTTCCTCGGCTCGTGCTTGGAGGACTTGGCTCGCAAGGACTACCACTCTCTACGGGATGCGGAGATCAAAGCCAACAACCCCGTCGACCTGTCGGGCCTTACCAACATCACAGATGAGGTGGTGCGCAGCAAGCTGCTGGTGTCCCTCGCACTGCTCGGTTCAGACAACCGGGAGGCTGCGGGGGTCCTGTACCGGACCCTGACCCACATAGACACGGTGATCAATAACTACGGCCTGGCGCTGAACGATGGGAGGACAGAGGAGCAGTTTCTGCTGCTGTTCACCATGGCATCCAACCACCCCGCCTTCAGCTTCCACCAGAAGCAGGTGCTGAGGCAGCAGCTCAGCCAGATCCAGGACATCCTGCAGGTGAGAAAGTGCACCTATAACTCCTTCATAGGGAGAGAAATTAGTTGGGGAGGGGGATTCACACTTTATTTGTTTACAAGAGCCGTATTTATTGGTAGACGTGTCAGAGGAAGTTCTGGCTTGATTGGCAGATGGTGCATTAAAACAGCACAGAGTGTGATATGAAATCGTGTGCCAACTTTTTTGGCAGACTGAGAACTGTTTCAAGAAACGTTGGCAAAACATGCTGGGATCTAACTTCTGGAGGGAAAATGCACAATTATCAGACAGGAAATGAGGCTATTTCACTTGAATTCTCCCACTTAGGTGCTGACACAGCTGTTCAGGAGGTTCAGTTTATGTATCAGATGGAAAAAGCCTGCACAGAGGAAGAGACTTTCAGTGAGATTTTTCTGTGGTTCCTCAAAAAGAGGAAGTGAAAGGCACTCCAGAAAACAGTACCAAGTTTGAATGATATAACCCAAATACATAACGTAAGTCCAGTTGAGGGATTTACTAAGATCCTGTGATTATCCACTGCAAAAATAGTTAAACAAGATGAAAATGGAAATTCAGATCACCTCAGCTTCGCCATCCAGGGTTATTACTGGTGCGTGGCCAGAGGTGAGGGTTTCTCTTCTGGTCAGAAAAGAAAGTGTGATTACAGCAAGTGAAACACCAGCTGGTTACAGGTGTGCAGCACATTCATGTTACCTATGCAGCAAATTACAGGTGAGATACTGTAAATGACAGGCTGCCTGTGAATGCCACAGACCTTGGTCTGTGCTGTTCAGTACTGAACAAGGTAAATTACATGGTTGTAGGTGAAAGCAACAAGTGGTGGGTTATCAGTGCTGAATAGATTGAAGAGGAGCTACCTGTGCTTATTTCAAGCTCAATACTTACTTACTTACTTTCTTTCTTTCTTTCTTTCTTTCTTTCTTTCTTTCTTTCTTTCTTTCTTTCTTTCTTTCTTTTTTTTTACTTTGCTTCATTTAAAATTGAAGATAATCTTTAATCATCTGAAATGAGCCGTTTAAAATCTCTTTAAGCTATCTCTGCTGGGATTGGCTGTCCTTTGCAAACTGAAGGTTTTGAGGAGCAGGAATTAGTTTATCGTTTTTAGTGATAACAATGTTATTCTCTGTCGCGAAATCAATCAATGTAGAGCAGTGTCACAAACCACGGA